GTTCCAGCTCGCGGGACTGGCCTAAGGGATTTTAAAGGGGTTTTAATTACTTTTAAATTTGACGTATCTAAATATTTCTTTTTAATCAATTTTTAATTAGATGTATATGTTAGTATTTTAATCATTGTCAGCCGCCCTGAGTCCGCAAGGAGAAGGGCGGGATATAAATGCAATTAAATAAATAAATAAAATAAATAAACCTCACAGTGATCGCGTGATTTGGGCATTTGGCAACTAATTTGCAATTAAAATAGTCACAACATCCATGGTTATGTGATTGCCATTTGTGAACCTCATTGTTCGCTCTCAACAAGCCAACGGGGAAGCTGATGGAGATTGCAAATGGTGATCATGTGACTGGGACACTTTAACCATGCAGGATTTGCCTAATGACATCTACTAGAATTGGTACAACTGCCATTTAAGTCAGAGCAGTCACATGACATTATGCCATATAACAGTGGTGGCGAACCTATGGCACGGGTGCCAGAGGCGGCACTCAGAGCCCTCTCTGTGGGCACGCGTGCCGTTGCCCCAGTCCTAGGCCTTCAGCTGGGTTTTATAAAACCTTTTCGCTTTAGGCCTCTGCCGCTGTGTACAAAAAAAAAGGTTCAATCAATCAATCAATTTCAACTTCTCGCAGGAAAAAAAAAGATCTTGCAAAGTTGGAATTGATTGATTGAACTTTTTAGTCCCACCCAGTCTGCTGTTACCACCGCAGCCACGCCCACCCAATGGGCCACACCCACCCGGCACCCGACGATGCATAAGTGGGTTTTGGGTTGCAGTTTGGGCACGTGGTCTCTAAAAGGTTCGCCATCACTGCCATATAACCTCATCGCTTAGCAATGGAATTGTCGCTCCCAATTACCATTTTTAAGTGAGGACGATGTGTTACTAATCCAACATACATATTCTAATTTATCAAATGTCTCCTAGTCTCTTCAAGTGTTTCAACTGCAGCCATATCATCTATAGCCAGTTATGCCCATTTTGGCAGAAAACCCATATTTACAACCCATCAAGGGTTTTTCTGATAAGCTTATTCTTTGCATTTTGGAAGTGCTTACAAAAAAACATGTTAACACCTTTTTATGAGTATGTTTAGCTCAAATAGAAGAAATAAGTTTAATAATTATAAAAACTGGTAATATTATTTTTCATCCAAAAAGACCCATGTTGTTCCTTAGATATATCACAATGTATTACTCCAATTCAATTGCTGATCCAGGACATAAAGATGTTATTCACTAGGAATAGCTGACATTGTTGAACTTGCGTATTACAATTTTGCGATCTTATACTATGTAGAACACAACTGATTAGAGTAAAGCTATAATGAAAATAGCAACAATTGTGTGTTCTTAGTATAATTGCATCTAAGAAATACAGAATAAGAAATAAAAAGAAATACAGAATTGCGCCTACAAAGCATATGATGCTTTTTTTCAATATTTGTCTAATATATCCTATTATTATTTTGGTTCTTTTCTATTCATTTTATAGATAGCTAAATACATTAGAACTCAAAGTAACAATAAATCTTTTTTTTAACTTCAAGTATGAAGACCCAGTCTGTAAAGAAAAATTATATTGTACAAACTTCAATGGTTTATAATAAAATTGTCACATTGATTTTAATTGCTGTTTATTGTCACATTGTCTATAGATAGGATCAAGAAAAATGATAAAATTATTTTTGTCTTTTTACAGCTGAGCAAAACGGGCTCCAAGGATGATGAATAGGAGGACTTTGATATAGGAAAATCTTAGCTGAAACCGCATTGTAATAACATTGATTTTTTTTCACAAGTTTTATAAATAACAGTTCTACACATGTTTAAATGTGTTAAAGTGTACCCATCAAGAGCAACATTTTTCTGACTTTATGATTTTCTTCTTATCACATGTTTTCCTTTAGAGGAAATATGTCAAAGGCAGTGTCAATGTACTTTGTCATGACACTGTAACAATATGTAATTTTCACGTATATTGTTCACTGTACTAAATCATAAAAATCTGTGGTGGTAAATGAAATCAACATAGCTAATTTTAGAAGACTTGCTCTAAAAATTTCAGACTTCTTAATCTCTATATTTGGATTGGAATCCCATGGTTGATTCTTATGTTTACTTCAGTATCATTTCAGATACTATTCATAGCCTTCAGCCTTTATTAGAAGGCTGAAAAATGTTATTGTAGCTGATGTTATGAAAAATATGCACCAGCTTAAATTACATTAAAAAATGTATAGCCCAATTCAAGTGACCCCTTAGCATCCCTTTTGTGCACAGCATATTCATTTTATACTTCAGTGTGATATGTAAAACAAAACAAGGCCATTACAGTTATAAAAAATAATGTAGCAACAGTGATTTCTATTTTCATGACAATTTTGCTACTACTACACTGCATATTACTACAGTGCACACTGGTGCATTCATTCCATGGCAATTATCCCATACCAAAGAATGACTATCCCCATTATTTAATTAAAAACTATATATCCAGTGTTGTCTAGTAATACCAGTCAGTAAAAAAGAGAAAGAATATTATTCTTTTGGCATAACTGCTAATATATGAAGAAAACAGATAGTTACAAAAGTGGAGCCTACAGATAGGAAAGAAGAAATGATTTAAGACTGAACTTATAAGACAGAAAACTGATCCATTTTTCTGGCTGTTGCTGAACTTCTACAACCAGTTTCCCTTATCCCTGGTCAGGCTGTTCTTGGTTGTTGGGAGTTAGTAATATCTTGAGGTCTTACTTTCTCAGTATGAAATTAAAAACAGTTGAACTTATTTCTGCCTAGAATTACATTATATGAAGAATTTATATTTGTTTTTGCAAAAAAATAATGGGATACTGGCTTCAGGTGCTGCCCTTTATTTCAATTTCAATTTTTTACTTGGAATAATAGATATTGTCATTAGTTTCAACCAAATTAATAGATAAGATGATACTTAGATGGAGCAGATATATTGTATTTGAGGCTTCTCTATTATTAGGTCAGTAGTGATAAAGAATAAGATGCCTTAATACCATTTTAAAAAAATTGTTGGGAGGGATTAAATAAATTTCTATTTTTCTTTGTGTTTTTGTTTATGTTCAGGCTCTTTCTACAGACATTGAGCATGTGGTAGTTAAAAATGGAGTCTAAATGGAGTGTTCAGTCTTTGTTAAAATAAATGGAATTGAAATACATAAAGATTTGGCAGAATTATGTATCTAAGACATGTTAAATATTGATACCAAATAAAATATGGTAACTACTTTTAAAACATATCAATATCAAAAAGGTTATTGATATACTAATAAGTGAACACATCTAAAAAGTATGTGACTGAATAAAAAGTAAAATTGAAAGGTTTGTTGGTGAAGGAAGAACAGAGGGAAATGTGTAAGAATTCACACAAAGCAGTAAAACTACTACAGCTACCAAAAAAGTAAATTCAAGCTTCTTTTAAAACTAAAGGTTTTAAAGAGGAAAAGGAAGAACTTAAATGCTCTGGACACTGGATGTTAGAAAATAGTAATGGAAAATAGAGAAATAGCAAAACATGCCCCAGTATGAAATACAGCAAGTGAGGGAACACAATGCAAGGATAACTTGATGTCAGGAGTGTCCTAAATTAGCCTGTGTTTCAAGCAAGAGAAAGAGGGGTGATGTGTGCAAAGAAATGCAAACATACCACCACTATTGGTAGGAACACAGATGCTGTGCTAACATATCAGGCCTATGAAACATTAAGCTTTTTGTAGAGTTTAAATACTAAATATTTATGACATATAAGATGAAAACTGATTTTTTTGGGGGAAAGCTAATGTATCCAGGGTTCTACAAAAGTTTAATTTAGTGGGGAAACTAATTATAGTTTCGTATATGCCATATTTGGCAAAGAAGAGCTACACAAATGTTGACAGATTAATTGTACAAAAATGTGATTTGTATGAAATGAATTCATCCTAGAAAAACTTAACATATTTGCACCTCTGATGAATCAGTATATTTTTCTGAAGAAAGAAGGAACTTTTTTCTCATATCTGAAACTCCACAACTGCCAAGCTTCAGAAAATACTGTCCTTTTATTCAATCAGTCTCTGACAAAGAACTTGTTGCTTGTTTCTATGGAACAGAAATCTAGTTACCTTGACAATTTATTTGAATAGACGAGTTATGGGGGGGGAACAATTGGAATACCCTATCTCTTTCTCTGCTGATATTTAACGTGCAAACCAGATCTTCTAGGTGCACAAGAGAATATTTAAAAGGTAGGTTATCTGGGTACTTATACTGTAAACTATTTTAAGCTGTGAATTATGATCAGTACAGTTTAAAACCTGTAAAAGAAAAATGATTACCTTTCAGGCTTTAAGCAATTAAAAGCAAGTGATTAAATTATTAAAATTAATTAGTAAAATATTTCTCTGAGCACAATCTCTTTAAGTACCTAAAGCCAGTTTGATTCTCTAAATGGATAAGTGTATTATTCAATCTAATAAATAATTTTCTACAGTAACCATTTTACTTAAACAGCCACCTAACAAATTTCAGACAAGATAGAAATTTATTTTTCTTTTCTCACCAAGTTTTAGGCTAATATTTGTAATTGAAGTTTTAAAGGGAGATTACAACATGGTACTCATCTAGTCATTAGGGCAGAAAATCATACTGATATGCTAAATCCATGATCCTGAGTTCCTGAATAATGTTCACATACTAGATTTGACTCGTGAGTCCACTTCTAGTTTCTTTCATATTTGGTCTTGGGCTAATGTCAATAGATTTTCAAAAAGACTGAAACTTGAATTGCAACTCAAACAAGTTATGCCATTGAATGTTGCTATGAATCTATGCTGCCTGGGAAACACCCATATCCATAAACCAAGAGCAGAAGGATAAATAGAAGAGGGCATATTCCCAAGACTGCTGCTTTATGGGTATTTTATAAAAATTATATTCTAAAAAAAAATTTGGGGAAAATATGGGATAGAGATCTGCAGATAAGAAATACAGTTGTAAAGGTAATCCTTGTGATCTTCCTTTGATTGCCAACTCCTTATATAAATGATCTTGGAAGGAAACATTTAGATATGTTTGTATTATAGGTAACTGATTCTAAAGTCTGGAAAAAGAAAAATTACCTGGAAAAGAAACAATAAAATATAACCTTAAATTAGCTCATTCAGCCATGTTGTCAACTTACAGAAAACGAAATTTGCTTCAGAAGTCTTTACATTCAGTAAGTACATTTAAAGATGAAAAATTAATTTTAACTTTTTTCTATTTGTTAGTTTATGTTCCATATAATTATTTCAAACAGGTAGAAGTAATAGTGAAACACATGTAATAATGATTTCAGATATATGTAATGTGGTTTAGTAGGACATTAATACTAAACTCTATGCTAGAGTTTCACATAAAATTACAACAATTACTATTATTTTTCTTCATAGTTTTTAATACAAATGCAAAGCTATACATAGTTTTGAAACACAAATGTAGAATATGATAATAGCAAAGAGCAAGGAAAAATGTACTATTAAGGAACATATTTTACAAACACAAAAGAAAAAAAATAATAAAAAGTGAGCACATGTATACAGCCAACATTAAGCATTTCCATACACTTAAGAAATGCTTTATTCAATTCTGGCTGAATGTTGACAAATATTCTCAAATAAACCTAATAGATTCCCCCCCTCCCCCACATAGTTGGTCTGCAAATAATCATAAAATTTCACATCTGTACTTGCAATGTATATATATTACTATTTTACGTCACTTTTTTAAAAAAAAAATCAAATATAGAAGTATTGTGTATCAATCAAATTGACTCCATATCTATTTAGCTGTAAAAGTTCTAATTTTTGTCTTTTTTGTTTTTTTGTTCTTGTAGTTTTTAAATATCTTACCTTTGAGATAAATAATTTTAAAAAACATATTTTAAAAATAACAGTGCTAGTAATTATACTAATTATAGAAATGAAGGACAGATGACATATGAATACTTGCCTAGATTACAGCAATAAACATTATTTTTTCCATATTCAAATAAATAAATTATTGCAGTATTGGAGCCCATTAAGCTTTTATGACCTTTTCTACAGGATGATAATGAAATTTGTTGCTTTACCTTCAGTTCAAGCAACCAATAGACAATGTAACAAATGTATGTATATTTCAATAATAATGCATGCTTTCCTTCGATGAAAGTTGTGCTATGTTTAGTGAGGTCTACCCCATAGCAATAGCACTTAGACTTATATACCACTTCACAGTGTTTTATAGCCCTCTCTAAGCATTTAACAGGGTCAGCATATTGTCCCCAACAATCTGGGTCCTCATTTTACCAATCTCAGAAAGATGGAAGGCTGAGTCAACCTTGAACTGGTGAGAATTGGAGTGCTGAACTGCTGGCAGTCAGCAGAATTAGCCTGTACTGCATGTACAACCTAAAACACAAACTGAACATGAATTGAAATCAGAAATAGATATCTAGTGTTTTTCTGAACTGGAACAGAATTTGAGTCATTATCTGGCAGTTTTTGCTGACTCTCAGCCAGAAGAGGAACTGGATGAGAGGAGGTTAGCTTATAACTAGGAGTAAAATCTGGTACAGGTAATCCCTGAGTTACGAGTGTTCACTTAATGCTCATTCAAAGTTACGTGATGAGCGCCCCCTAGTGCTTATGAGCAAGTCCCGAAGTTATGAATTTTGCAGCACCATGGCAGTCATTCGCCCTTACGAGTGACCGCAGTGGCTCTGCAACATTCACCCTGGTTATTCCCTCCCCCCCGCCCCAGGTCTCCCTAGGCACCAGGCCTTCAATACTCACCCTATGAAGATCGAGATCCTTCGCTTTCTTGGCTGCTTCAGGCCTTCGGTGCATTTGTAGAGAATGAAGTCCTAAAGTAACGCAAGATCACACGAGATCAGTGGGGCGAGATCTCACGCTACTGATCTTGCGTGATCTCATGGTACTTTAGGCCTCTGTTCTCTGTAACAGAGAACAGAACCAAAGCTGGGGGACACTTCCACTTGCCTCCGGAAGCTGGATCGGTGCTCCGGAGGCATTTTCCAGGCTGCTGTGACCTGGATTTGAGGCTGGGGGAATGCTTCTGCATCCTCCATGGCCTGATCCAGGCTCTGGAGGCCTTTTCCAGGCCACTACTGCCCAGATCTAAAGCTGGGGAATGCTTCCACTCCCCCCATGGCCCAATCTGGGCTCCAGAGGCATTTCCAGGCCTTATTGGGCCATAGGGGGGCTGCGGACGCATTCCCCGGCCTCAAATCTGGGAGGCAGCAGCCTGGAAAAAGGCCTCCGGAGCACGGATTGGGGCACGGGGGGCGTGGAAGTGTCCCCCAGCCTCAGATCCGGGCAGCAGCAGGAACCGCGGCAGAGAGGAGACGGATCTTTTCCAGATGAGTCCGGCGTGGCAGGAAGGGAGGGGGAAGCATGTGTTATTTTAGTAGGTTGGGGAGGCCTTGGGGCCTGTTCCATCACTAGGCCCTCCATGGCCTTCCCCACCCTGAGATACCTCATGTTCGCTTAACGAGGCGCGTCTGTTTTAACGAGCAAGGGAGTGATCTCATTCGAGGTATGAGATTCACTCTATGAGTTTTCGAGTTAGGAGTGGAATGGGCAGGCTTCATTACACTTGTAACTCGAGGACTACCTGTATCTGACTATTCAAAAAGAGCAAAATTCACCAGGCAAGCAGCAGTGAGCAGCCCCTCCCCTCCATAAACTGGCTGTGATGTCAACAAAGAGCCAATCACTTGTAGATACAGCCAGACATCTCTACTGCTAAGATCTTAATATGTCCAGGAGGCCTCTATAATGCAAACAGGCACACGTATTTATCCATAATTGGTATTGTGCTAATGCTGTAATATGATGTACTGATCAATGCTGCTCACCCTGTTGCTCACAAGGTGAGTTCTACACTTCATCCAAATTATCTGAATGAGCTATTGGATCGAGCAAAACCAGAATAAGGGCATATAAACCAATATTTAGAAGAATGTATAGATCTTGCACAATAAGAAGTAAAGTCTGTAAAGTTTATTTATGTATCTTTCCAAATCAAGACATCAGAGTGTACTATATTGACCATGGCAAAAACTAGATTACAGAGTGGGATATCAGTATCTTCAAAACTTGGGAGGCAATAATTTCCTGGGTCTCTAATGAAAGTTAGGTGAAATATGATACCTACAATATACAAGAGTTGAGATACGTTAGGTACATAAGTTGAGATACAACATCTCAGCCTGGCTTTAAACTTCAATATATGGTTTAAATGTCTGTCTATTTTATTAACTCTCCCCAATGTACTATGTTTTCTGAGAGGAATTCTGAAGATCTTCAAAACCTGAATTCTTTTGAAACATTAATGGTTAGTCCTTCTAAAAATGGACCAGCACAATTGTTAATGGTTTTTATTTGGCAATTTGGTATTCTACAAATTCTTGTTGTTTCAATATCAGTTCAATTTCAAAAACTCCTAGTGTACTAAAATTCTTATTTTTCCAAATATATTCATTTTGTACACATATTTCCCTCATACTGTATATAATTTTCTCTAAAACAGTTTCTCAACCTTTGGAAATTATATGTGGACTCCAATTAACAGAATTTCCCAACCAGGGAATTGAAGTCCACATATCCTAAAGTTGTTAAGGCTGAGAAGCACTGTTTTAGAATAATGCATTATACATGTACTCCTGTAGTCAATGGGGAGGTGTCCTAGAGCAGGGCTTTTCAATCTTTTCACCCATTGTACCACTTTTAGGATATACTGTAGCAATATCTGAGTACCACCAGTCACCTAGCAAGGTGTCAAAAACTTGATGACCCCCCCAAAAGGAAAAAAGTGATGAAGTACAGATAGTTCTCGACTTACAACAGTTCGCTTAGTGACTGTTCGAAGTTACAATGGACTGAAAAAAGTGACCCCCAAGCCACAGCCAAGCAAGACACCTGCCTGCCCACCCGGCGGTGCTCTTCCTCCTGTCCGAGGTTTTCATTGTTGTGAGCATTTCTGTTGAGGATTGGCAGCGGGGGTGGGGGGGTGTTTGGTTTTTATTCCCCCCATCTGCTGGGTGGTTACAGCAGGTTTTGGTCACTTCACATGACCCTGGGACACTGTGACCATCATAAATATGAATCAGTTGCCAAGCATCTGAATGTAAATCACAAAACCCTGGAGATACTGTAACATTCCAGCTGATCGGCGCTTCTTCTGGGCTCAGCAGAAGCGCCAGGATCAGCACCGAGCTCCAGCTGGAGCCTGGCGCTGATCCTGGTGCTTCCATTGAGCCCTGACAGCCCTGCAGCTCCAGCCATCTCTCGCTCAGGCTTGTGCGGTCCTGCCACCGGTTCAGCTCATTCCCCCCACCACCACTTTTCTAGGATGGTCGCGTACCACCTGCCAGGTGCCAATGTACCACAAGTGGTACCCGTACCACTGGTTGAAAAGCCCTGTCCTAGAGGCTATTTTGGATTTCTGAGTGCAGGTTAGAAAGCTTCCTGTGGATATGATGTTTGCCTTCCCTCTTTGCCACTGCAATTGCAAATAGTAGAAACAAATAAGGGGCAGTGTATGTATAGTTGGTCCTTGATTTATGACCACAATTGAGAGCAGAATTTCCATTGCTAAGCAAGGTGGTTGTTAAGTAAATCATACCCAATTTTATGACTTTTTTCCATGATTGTTAAGTGAATCACATGATCATTACATGTATCTGGCTTCTTCCATTGACTTTGCTTGTCGGAAGCCGGTTGGGTAGGTCACAAATAGTGATCACATGACCCTGGGATGCTGTAACCACCATAAATACATACCGGTTGCCAAGTGCATGAATTTGGTTCATGTGACTGGGTATACCGCAAAGTTCATAAGTGTGAGGACTGAGTATAAGTCTTTTTTTCAGTGCCATTGTAACTTTGAACAGTAGCAAAACTAGTGGTTGTAAGTTAATGACTATCTGTATGTTGCAGGAAAACCCACAGGTTTGGGAAAACTATGTCAGCAAGGTCCATTTTGCACCTATTGACATAAATATGAGGGCAGGAGAAAGCAGAACAGGCTTTTTGCCTCTCTTTGATTCTTATTAGTGGGAACCTAGCGTGGCTTTGAGATGTTTTGAAGGCTCCAACATCAAAGTTCCTTACCCATCATAGAATTGAGATACAAAATGATGTGCATATGCAGTTAAGTTTCCAGATTATTCAAAATCCAAGGTAATCGAATTATATCAATTTACAATATCTCAATGATTTAATTAATGAGGAAAATTGGCAGTATTCATATATAACAAAGGAGTTACATAATAAAAGTATAATGTATTATAAGAATACTAATATCTGCACCATCAGCCACATCAAGCACCAGTTATATAACTGATTAGCTTTCAGCCTTGTCAACAGCCAGCTGAGATCTCTAATCCTTTGCAGTTACCTTCAGATAATGATTGTTTTCATCTCCACAAGTACTTATCTAATGTGCACATTTGGGAACTGAGAGAACGATAATTCTATATTGAACATATTTGTCTTTCTTTTTAGCCTTCCAGCAATTTGAATCTCCAAAAATGCACTAGTGATATGCTCCACGAAATGTTTTTATCACCACATATTTCAAAGTCACAGAAACATGTATACAAAGATATATGCTCAAAATGGACTGGGGTAAGTTACCATCTGACTTTCTTATTAAAGAAGTAGGGGATGACACATCATTTTAATGAACTGTTTAAGAATACTCCAAGGTAGATGCATAAAAGTGATAATGAAAATAGTTAAATAAGAAATATTAATACACTTCTTTTAAAAATAGAATCAATTATTCTTACTATGAAATACAGAATGCTATATGGAACATAGCAGTAAAATATTGTGTGTCTGCTGATTTTATTATTGGGGGGGTGTTGGAGATTTATTTGCAAAATCCTTAACAGTTGAACTCAATTACTTCCTTAAGAATGTATTTGAAAGTATGGATATTGGGCTTTCTTTGTTGGAGGGGGAAAAATCTGAGAGTTCATTGACTCATGAATTATGATCATGTGATCATTTGGTATCTCTTTGGAATGGAATTGTAATGTATATAATGAGATTTATGGGGATTTCTCTAAATCAGAGTTCTCCAACCTTTCTGGGCTTGTGGCCTGGAGGGGAGAGCAGCTTCCAAATTACTACGTGTGCACACACACGCATGCAAATGGCCACGCCCACATGTGGCATGCGCTGGTGCAGTGCACATGCGCGAATGGCCACGCACCCGTGGCGGCTAGCGCCTGTTTGTGCATGTGCAAACGGGCCACGCACACACCCTGCACTAGCAGCCCGTTTGCACATGCGCAAACGGGCCGCACAAATGCACACCCTCGCTAGTGTCCCCGTTTGTACCCACGTGCATGAGCAAATGGGGCCACGGATGCTAGCGCAAGTGGGGAGGGAATGTGCGGCCATGTATGTGCGCCCTGGCCAGCCATTTCCGTGACCTGCTGGCCAAGAGCCCGCAATCTGGTACTGGGCCGCAGCCCATAGGTTGGGGTCCCGTGCTCTAAATGTTAAAGATGTTAATGGGATATTGAATTATATATGAACACTTTGGCATCTGACTGTTATGAGGAATGATGGCTGTATGGAAGGGGTCTAAAAGAATTATACTGAGAAACTAGAAAAGTTATATTACAGATGTTCAGGAATGGCTTTTGAAAATGTGTTATTTATTCATCTTGGAAAGGGCAGTGTCTTTTACTAGTCAAAGGATGAAACAATATATGCTACTGGTTATTAGACACGGGCAACTTTGGCTCACCACTGTCATAATTCTTGAGCATTACATATGATGGATGGGATTGATGTGAATTGTGTTTCAAAACATCTGGCATGGATCACCCTTGGGTTCAGTTATGATCACTGTTAGTAGAAAGGAAGGAAGTAGTATGATCTGTGCCCCCAATATGTCCCTTTGCTGTAATAAGTCTTTTAAAAACAAATGCTGAAGAAAACTAGTCTTTTAATGAAGGAGAAAAATAACGATAACCCCTTTTCAGTACTCACAGAGTTGTCACTATTCCCTAGTTATTAGTTGGTAATACAACTAAGTAAAATAATATTTTTAAGAAAATAGTTAGCAAACAGATTAATAAGGTCCTTTAAAAAATATTAAAGTTATTAAATTACCTCTAGAAACAAAGATGTCACTGGAATATTCCATATGTAAACATAACTGAAGAAACAGACATGAAAGTCAAGAAGCACTTAAAGGTACGTGATTATTTTTTTCCTTTAAATATCTGGAAAAACATGGAAAGCAGTATTTTCCTAATGTCTGTCTTGGTTCCTTGCAGCATCAAATGTATTTTCGTTTTGCTAAAAGACTGAATCGCCCCTTAAGCAGTAAAAGACACCTTTACAATACAGAGACATTCATCATGAAGGTAAGAGAAACCATTCCATAAATCCCACTTCTCTAATGCAGTTTTGGAAAGTGTTATGCCACTAAATAACAGACAGGTAAGATGATAAACATATGACTTAATTGTATATTCTCCCACACTTCAATCAGCATATTTTTAAATAATTTGTTTGAATGGAAGATTAAAGATTTTATAAATTTGTTGACCAGGTTGTTAATGGAATCTATTTCTGTTGAACGGATATTTTTCAAAATATTTAATCACAAACTCCAACTTGGTTTCAAAGGAGTGGAGTTATATATGTTATAAGAGTACATATATATAGTACTAAAACCCTGATTGTGTTTATCTGTACCCACAAATTAGCCCAAACGGTGTGTTATACCACAACAACTTTTGAATCAAAGAACCGAAAATCTGCTAAATTAAAGAATTTGTAAAAAAAATAAATGTGGAATTGAAATTTCCAGTTTTATTCACAAAGCTGTGGCCATCACAGTTTCCCCATAGTCACATAATGATGATTTCCAATGATCCTTGTCAGCTTCTCACAAAGAAAGATAGGGAAGCAGGCAGAAAGTCAAAAGTCATTCCCACTTCCATTGCTTTTTTGTCTACACATTATCGTTCTATTGATTTCTTTAGTTAAGATAATATTGACTTGTTGTTCAATTTGATTTGCTACAATTGTTTTTCTATTTATGATATATATTCTTAGATAATCACAACAGTCTGGCATTAGAGTAAAAAAATGGCCAGCCTAAAATTTAATATTCATCCTGATGACATCGGACTGTACTATCTTTCTGTCAAAGGATGACACAACAGGTCACAGGGTTGTCTAATCCAAGGGTCCCCAACCTCCTGTATGTGGACTGGCACCGGTCTGCAGCATGCCAGCAACCGGACTGCGCAAATAAGTGAAGCATCATTCACAGGATGCAGGCAGCATGCGAAAGCATATCCCCCTCTGGTCCATGGAAAAAACTCTCTCCACAGAACCAGTGGAGCTGGGGGCTGCTGGTCTAGTCAGTTGAAAAATTGATGGAATTTCTCTTGCTAGATACCTATTTTGTTATCCGAAACACTGGAAAAAATAAAGTAAAACTAAAGTAGGATTTAAAAGCATAGGAAATTGCTTTGTGTAAAAAGTCAAAAATAGCAACAGCCTTGACTAAATTTTCATTTAAGAATAATTTTCATTCAAATTTATATTAATTGCAAATACAGGTACTATATATTATTAATGTTTTACTAATTAATTATTAAGGGTGGAAAGACTAAATATGAATGTTTAAAATGTTGGCATTTCTCTTTAAGATTGCATATACACACATACACACTGTATATACCCCATGATTAAGAACAATTTTACATAAAATCAAATGGTACTATGGATAGCATATAGAGACCCATCTTATCACCAAATATATAGCCATAATCTGCATCTTGATCTTTCATTTAGTATCTTTGCATTGATACCATCTCAGATAATCCTCTAAAAACAATAGCATAATGGGTGTCAGCAAAATTTAAGACTGTCTTATCCTTTCTAAGCCTTTAATGTGCTACATCTAATGAAGGAAAGAGATACTTGGGGTACTGTCCTCATTACAAAAATGTATGCTTATTAGTAGATACTGTACTTATAATTTATGTACCTAATTACAAAACTCTTCTTTCTCTTTAGCAGGAAGGAGACAGTACAGGTCAGGTCAATATTTGTTCAGAGGAGCCTCTGGTTAGAGACAAAGTCTCTGAACTGACTGAAAATTCCAAATACAACACAAAACCACAAAAATCAATGCATATGTACAGAGAACTCCCCCAAAGACAAACACATGGCGACTTTCTTCACTTGGAAGAAAAAGACAAAATCCAGGAAAAGAAATTGAACAAAAGAATAATATATTTATCCAGAAGCACACTTTCAGAGTCTCTGCAGTTCTTGGACATAAATGGATCAGAAGAAAATGAAGAAAAAAATGCTGTTCACAAGGGTTACTCTTTTTTAAGTACATCTCATCTGAAAACCCAGACAGAAGAAATTAAACCCCGCAGCATTTTCCTAATGGAAACTCAGGATGCCACAAATGATGTAAGGTGTCAGAAGAGCCCAGCAGACACCAAAACAAGCAGGGATGTAGTGAGAGGACGAATCCATTTGCCCTGTTTAACCAGAAAGAAAAAATTTATTATCTATATCTGCGGAGGTTATCAAGGTACTTCCAGATGACTTGGGAATTTAAATTTTTAGAGAAGGCCAGAATCTAATCTAAACACAAAAGAACATTCCTTGAGGTTTAAATAGTTTTTAAAATTATTATTCAAACAATTAAGAAGCTAAGTAATGGCATTCTTGGAGCCTCTGAAATATGAATATATCTATAATTCTATATTTTTGTTCATTTGGTAATTTTTTATAAATGTAAAGCTTCATAGTCGGACAGCACATAATACAAGAACACTAAGCTAAATATGTTTGGATGTAGTTAGTAGCTGGATAGTGTGTGAGTGTGTGTGTATGTATTCAAATAAACTAAAGTAATTAAAAGAGGTTCCCTTCCTAATTCAATAGCCATTCTTTTTTATACGGGTATCCTTGTTTAGTGACCATTCGAAGTTACAATGGCACTGAAAAAAGTGACTTATGACTGTTTTTCACACTTAATGAGCATTGCAGCATACCTGTGGTCACATGATCAAAATTCAGATGGTTTACAACTGGCATGCATTTATGACTGGGTCACACGATCACCTTTTGCAACCTTCTGACTAGCAAAGTCGCTGAGGAGGCCAGGATTAACCTAGCTGTGGCAAGAAAGGTCTTAAAATGGAACAAAACTCACTTAAAAATTGTGTTGCTTAGCAATAGAATTTTGGGGCTCAGTTATGGTCATAAGTCAAGGACTACTTGTATTATAGTTAGATTGGAGATACTGAATATAAATCACAGCCGCGCGGGCGGTGTTGGGAGTGACCCGTCGCTCCCATGTAACGCCGCTGCTGCGCGAGCTGCACTGGCTGCCGGTGGCTTTCCGGGTGCGCTTCAAGGTGCTGATTATCATCTTCAAAGTGCTCCATGGCATCGGACCTGGTTATCTCCGAGACCGCCTTCTGCCTCAGATTACCTCTCATCGGCCGATACGCTCCCACAGAGAGGGTCTCCTCAGGGTGCCGTCAGCCAGACAGTGCCGGCTGGCGACCCCCAGGGGGAGGGCCTTCTCGGAGCTCCCACCCTATGGAACGAACTACCCCCAGAGATCCGGGTGATCCCGGATCTCCCCTCCTTCCGCCGCGCCCTCAAGACATGGCTATTTAAGTTGGCAGGACTGGCCTAAGGGTTATTTTTAGCTTGGTTTTATAATAATTTTTTAAAAATAATAACGGCCTAATAATATTTCATTTTAATTAACATTTTAACTTTAGTATTTTTGTATTTATGTATTTGTTTTTAAAAGGCTGTAAGCCGCCCTGAGTCCGCAGGGAGAAGGGCGGGGTAGAAATATAAATAATAAATAAATAAATAAATAAACATACTGCAACTCTGTCAATTCTTTTTTTAAAGTTTAAATGTTGCATAGGTTTGCCTTAAAATCAAGATAATACTATTTAGCAATTTTGCTTTGTTATTTTAATTAGATTCAGAAGTAGAACGAAATGCATTAATGGAAAAATCCTTCCCATGGCTATACAACTACTGTAAAAAGAGAGGTTACGACTTCCATGTATTTGATCTAAGGTGGGGAGTAAAAGATGGTATTACTAATGATCATCATATGGCTTCTCTACATACAAGGACATTAAAGAAATGCCAGCAACTGGGATTCCAAACCTTTATCGTAAGTTGAATAGAATTTGCAATACAATACTCATCCGATGTTTTTTAATATGCAGTCTTATATGTTTTAGTGAAGTTTGTTTGCTCTGATTAGTGATGAGTTCACTCATCATGCTAAGAAATGACCATAGTTTGTTAAATAAGCAACAACTGGCTGAATTTACACTTCAAAACTGGGCCCTAATATTTGTTTTGGATGTGATCTGTGAATCCAATGCATAACTGTATTTTGTAAGCCAGTGGTTCTCAACCATGGAGGGCCCAAAGTCGTCACAGGGCCCCCGCGAAGGCTTGAAGAAATGTTATGATTTAAATCTTGAATAAAGTCTTCGTAGTCTGTGGCCACAAAATGTATTTAAATAAGATAAGATAAGGTTTATTGTTATTTTTTTATTGTGAGCACACTGACACACATTAAAAATGAAATTCTGTTCCCTGCTCTCAAAAGAAAGTATATATCAACTCATACATATACATAACACACATATACACATGCTACACACACACACACATACATATATACATATACATACACACACACACATATATATACCCGTATTTCCCCAAAAGTAAGACCCGGTCTTATATTCTTTTTGCCACCAAAAGAGGCATTAGGTCTTATTTTTGGGAGGTGTCTTAAATTTTTTGTGATAGTTGCCTCGCCTCGTGGCAGCAGGACCTTGCATGTTTTCCGGTGAAGCTGGTCTCTCAGAACACCCAGTTTACAAAGCAATCTACTTATTGCTTTTAGCCCCAATCTAGGAGCGTTGGTTTTTTTTTTTATCATACAGGCAGATACTACTGCAACAAATGATTTTGTGTTCAATTTGGATTTTGCCAACGAGTCTCCCTTTAACTCTTTGTCGGCAAAATCCAAATTGAACACAATATATATATACATATTCATATATACACCCATATGAAGCCACCTCCCAGAAGATAAGGGGTCTGTTGTGAAGAAAAGGTTGAGAACCACTGTTGTAGGCCACTATTTATGGCTAATCAAGAAGAGAACAACTTAAAACTATGGAGAATTTTCCCAACAGTTAAAACAATTAATCAGTGAAATGCCTTGCCTCTAGAAGTTGTGTGTGCTTCAATACTGGAGATTTTTAAGAAGAGGTTGCACAACCATTTGTCTGAAATGGTATAGGGGTTCCTGCTTGAGCCGAGGTTGGATTAGAAGACCTTCCAATTCCGTTATTTTGTTAATCTAGCCATATGACTTGTTTTCAATATTACATATAGTTCCATATTCCATAGTTGAAACCAGCTACATATGAATCCAACAAATGAAAAGTCTTGCCCTTATGAATTTATTTCTGTTACAAATCTGCTAGGGGAAACAAAACGAATTCACCTATGTACCAAAATTAATTGAATCATCTTTGTGACATTTGCTTCATTGGATTACTTAATTTCCAATTGGCACAATACATTAAATATATTGGAATGCCATCAGCTTCAGAGAAAATAATAATTTGTTTGCCAAGAATCATTTTAAAATTATTTTCCATGCTGCATTTCAGGTTTTTATTGGCCAGAAGTATGATGATCTCTCTCTTCCAGAAATAATAGGCAAGGAAGTGTTTGAGTTAATTAAAGCCACAGTGATACGTAGGAAACTGAATATCAAAACATCAAAATACATGCCACCTGCTGATTTGAAAGATGAAATCAAAGTAGAGAGAAATGAAAATCAAGGTGAAATTGTTCAGGATTTCCAGGATCCTGATGCAATGGAAGAGTTTGAAGCTGAGATAAGCAGCCAGAAAGAACATGAAGTGGTTAATTCAAATGAATTGGATTTGCTTAATACTTCTCTACTCACCCAAAAGACTGTAGCTGAATATGAGAAAGAACTTCAGCTTTTGAATCAATGGTACAAGCTGGATGAAAACTGCATCCCTGCAGTTTACAAGCTTCAACCTATTTGGTAAGTTGGATTTTGGTTTTTCAATTGGCCGATGTCATTGGTTACTCTAATAGATTATGTTTGCAGGAATCTCAAAGAGAGGAGTATGCCT